ATATATATATATATCCTGAGTTCGATCCCCTCCATCAACCAGTTCTCTGACATCAACAGATATCCTGCAACGTAACTCAGTTCTGACACTGTCTCCTTAGAGTTCATACAGAACCCATGAGTTAAGGGTTCTGTACCACATGGATACCTCCCTATCGGATGACTATGTCAAGTCCCAGTTGTCACCAAGTGATGATGTTGGGGGCTCCCACGATCTCCTGCTTGGACTGACATCACAGTTCACTGAACTCAGGGAAACATTTTCTTACATTTATTGTTTTGGTTTAAAAGGCATGTTACAAAAGATCAAAATAAACAAGCAGATGAAGAGATACACAGCATGAAGTTTTGGAGTGTCCTGTAATATAGTGATTTTTATGGTGGCCTCCTCATTGTGGCACAGCAGATTATTCACTCAAATTCCAGGCTTTCTCTTTTCTGGGGAGGATGGAGGTAGCACCTGGAAGTCCCAAGCTTCTGTAAGTGGCTTGGTCATTTCGGTGACCTTCCAATCTAGGAGCCCACCAAAAGTCACTTCATTGTAACAAGACACTCCTATCACGAGAGCACTTTGGAGAGTCTTAGGAGTTCTGAGTTAGGAACCCGTGGCAGAGACTATACACACACACCCACACACACACACACACACACACACACACACACATTCCTGATGACATCACATCCCCCAGTTTATAAAATGACCCTGCACCTCCACTTGTGCACATATTTTACTTTCCCCAAAAGCTGTTTCTAGTAGTCATGTTCAAGGGAAAGAAGATAAGAAAAATTACTTAGTTCCTTCCTCTAGATCTTAAAATTTACATTTTTTTTACACTGGCACAATCTGTATAATTTATACTTCATCAGGTATACATGCAATATCTGTGTGTATAGCTCTGTCCAATTTTGTCCTTTATGCTGCATAACAATGGCTACAATTAAGATGCTCAACTGTATCATCACAAGATTCCCTCAGTTTACTTCTTTAGAGACACATCTATCACTATTTCCATCCCTGACACCTGGCAACTGACTGATAATTTCGCTTTATGAGGTGTGAGTCAAACTATGGTGAAAGTTTAAATTTTAAAAAAATGATTATGCTAAAAGAGGGCATTAGTAATCACCCTCAAATCATTCTTCCCTGCAAAGCGAACACATTAAGCCATTATTCTTTCCTTTTTCTAAAGCAGTTCTGGAAGTCTTTTTCCATGAATACAGTTAGTTTCATTGTGCTGACTGCCTTGGTATCTTGAATTGATGCAAAACATTCACCTTTTGTGGTCAGTTTGACTTCAGGGAAGAGCCATGAGTTGTGCAGTTTCAGATCCAGTGAATAATGTGCATGGGGACACAGCATAATGTTTCTTTTTAGTTTTATCAGCCTGCTTTTCCATTGGGTGGTATTTGGAAGGTGCATTCACCATATTTTTGATAACACATCATGAAGACACTCTCGAAAGAGAACTTCCAGAACTGCTTCAGAAAGTGGCAAAAATGATAGGATAAGTGTGTTCCCAATGAGGGGAAACATTTTAAGGGAAGTAATTGTAATAACTTTTAGTGTAATATTTTTTAAAAGTTTGAACATTCACCATATATTTTGATTGTGCCTTGCATAATTGTATGCTTTAATGACTGTTATACAAATGGACTCCTGCAGTGTGCCTTCTTTTGAGATTGGCTGTTTTCACTCTACATTATGTCCATCACGTTTATCTAAGTTGTTGTGTTTATCAATAATTCATTCATCTTTATTGCCAACTGGTAATCCATTATATACATTACTGCGATTTGCTTAAACATTCAGTTCTTAAAAGGATACCTGGGTACTTTTTAGTCTTTAATTATTATTAATAAAGCTGCTATGAATATTTTTTACAAGATCTGGAAAGAAAATAAGTCTTCACTTTTCTCAAAGAAATACTCCAGAGTACAGTGACTGAGTCACATAATACATGCATGTTTAATTTGATAGGAAACTGACAAATTGGCTTTCAGAATGCTTGGGCCATTTTTCATTATCCCTGGCAATGTATGAGTGATCCAATTTCCTCCCATTCTCGCCAGCATTTGATGTTATCATGATTTTTTCATTTTAGTCATTCTCATATATGTAATGAAATTTCACTGTGGTTTGAATTTGGGTTTTTCTAATTTCTAGTGATGCTGAGCCTCTTTCCATTGTCTATTTACCATCTGGGTATCATCTCTGGTAAAATTGCTCTGTGTGCCTTTTTTCACCTTCTAAATGCATCTTTCTTTTTACTGTAAGGATTTCAGAGTTTCTATGCATGCTAAATACAAAGTCTTTGTCAGATATGTGATTGCAGGTATTTCATACTTGTATGTGATTTGTGTTTTCATTAGACAGTGTCTTTCACAGAAAAATTTTTATTTTGATGAGATGAAATTTATGATTATTTTTCTTAAAAATCATGCTTCGTGTTAGTTTTAAGGTTTTTGTGCCTAGCTCTAAGTCCCAAAGATTTTCTCCAATGTTCAATAACTTTGCATTTTTATATTTAATTCTGTGATCCATTTGAGTCAGTTGCATAAAGGGTGAAGTTTAAGGTGAGCCATATTCCTTCTCTTCCTCCTTACCTCTATCTATTTATTCCAGCACCATTTATTGATGTCTGTTTTTCTTCTATTGAATTGATTTTGTTCCTTTGTTGATAATTAAACAGGCATATTTATTTTTTTATTTTTTGGAACCAGGGATTGAGCTGAGAACCTTGTGCTTGCAAGGCAGGCAGCAGTACCATTGAGCTAAATGTATGGGTCTCTTTATGGGTTCTAGGTGCTGCTCAATTGGCTCATGTGTCTATCCCTCTGTGAATACCATATTGCTTTGAGTATTGCGACTGTATTAAGCTCTAACATTAGGAATGGTGATTCTTTTTATTTTATTCTGTTTTAATGTTCAAAATTATTTTATTGAGTCTCCCCCTTTTCATATAAATGATAGAATAAGATTATTTCTAAAGAACACTAGGTGATATTTTTTATAGAAATTTTATTAAATGTATAAATCATTTTAGGGAGATTAAATAGCTATACTTTGTTGATTTTCCAATCCATGAATATAGTCCCATCTTATGATGACTTGACTTACAATTTTCCAGCTTTATGATGGCGAGAAAACAATAAACATTCAGTAGAAACTGAACTTTGAGTTCTGAATGTGGATCCCTTCCTGGGCTAATGCTATGTATTATAATCCTCCTATCTCAGGAGTCTGGGTGGTAGCAGGTGCCCCAGCTCCCTGTCATCCCTATGATCATGAGGGGAGATAACAGACTCTACAGTGTACTTCAAGGCCAGAACGTTTTGCATACAGATATTTAATTAATTGTATTAGATGTTCAATACTTTATCATAAAATAGCTTTAGTGAGGTTATTTTGCCCAACCCCAGGCTAATAGAAGTATTTAGAGCCTGTTTAAGGCACCCTACACTAAGTTACAGTGTTTAGTAGGTTAAGTGTATTAATTGCATTTTCATTTTACAATGTGTTCAACTCATAATGGGTTTTTTGTTTGTTTTATGGTGCTGGATAATGAACCCAGAATATTCAGACTGAGTTACATTGCAGAACCTCCCACACTTTCTATTTTGAGATAAGGTCTCCTTAAGTGGCCCAGGCTAGGTTTGAACTTGTAATCCTCCTGCCTCAGCCTCCCAGAATGCTGGGGTTACAGCCCTGCATTATCATACCCAGCCTCCTAGGGGGTTTATGGGGATGTAATTCCATCACAAGTTGAGACGAATCTATATAAAGAAAATCCATTATACTGAAAACCAATATTAGAAATGTTTTTATTTTTTCCAATACCGGGGATCAAACTCAGGACCTCACAATTGCCAGGCAGGCAGACGTGGCACCACTGAGCTACATCCCTGACCCTTGAAAGCTAACATTAGAGCATAAAAATATATTTGTAGTGTGCTAACATGTGTTTTTATTTACATAGTGAATAAACCTTATAGAGATCCGATGATAACTATAATCCTGAAATAGTCATGCCACAAATCCTAATTCAAGAAAAATGAAGACAACTAAGATTTCACTTATTGACAAGGCCACAGAGGTGATGCTGACACTACTGTTGTTTGTTACTCACATTCTTAGTGAGAAGAAATGCACAACTATAGTTAGAAGTTGGTGAAAATGAAGAGTCAACATTTTTCCTTTCCCTGTTCTTGGAGCTCAGATTTTTTCCCATCAAACTCAGGATGGGACTCTTCAGTGCACTTGGAAGTGACCAGGGATTGCAGTTGCAATGTACAAGTGAGACAGTTGCACAAGTGGCAGCCTACACACGGTGCTCCAAGTGGGGGAGGACACTGTTGGGCAGGTCCACCCTCTCTGTTTCCTTGAAGACTCAGCCTCCTCCTGAGACCCTGATGATGCTCATACTTCCCGACCATCCAGACCCCATCATATCTTTCCCAAATCCTCAGCCTGCACGGAACCAGTGGACCCAAGGTGTGGACAGCACAGGCTGCACTGCAGGTCCAGGAGAGAAGGAACAGCTCACACCACTGAAACTCTGAACGATCAGAAACAGCTGGTTGGAAGCATATGAAACATACCAGGCCGCTTGGTTGGCCTCCCACCAGCTGCATGCAGAATCAAGAATTCCAGAACTGTGGGAAACACTCTTTTGGGGAAGAGCAAAGGCACACGTGGCCACTGCGCAGAGGGCTGGATAGAAAGACAGTGAGGCAAAGAGGGAGGTGGCTGTCTCAGCCAAGGGAGATGAGCTGCCACATCCTGGCCCTGCAGGCAGGGCCTCCTTAGGGCTATGTAGGTAACCAAGAGAGGCCAGATAGAACATGCTCTGAAAAGCCGGCTTTCCTCTGCTAGGCAGGTGGAACCTCACAGCCAGGTAGAAGGAGTTGCCTCACATCAACCCCCGGGTGAACAGATTTGCAAAAGATTAGGGAGTGATTTGTCTAGTTCCGGATAAGAATTAGATCAATGGCTACCCTGGGCTCACTGCATTTCTGGCAAAGTCCATCTATAGGTGTGCAGTGAAATACGAGACAATAGATTGAAAATGGGGCAGAGAGGAGGGGGTGCAAACAGGTCAAAGTCAGAGTGTAAGCAGTGCTTTGGAAAGAGATTAAAGAGCTTACTTCTTAGTTCTGATTTCCACAATCCGAAACTATGCAACTGGACAAATATTTATGGCTCTCTTCCAGCCCAGCGGAGCTCACCAAGGGAGCCTGCAGAGGAAGTCCCTGCACGCCAACCTGGCTGCCACTTCCAGCCACTCAGCAACGCACCTTCGCTCTGGGAGGGGAGGGATTTCTGTGTTTCCCACAGAATCTGCTGTTCAGCCAACGCAGCTACCTTCTGGTTCTTGGTTATTCATATCTGCCACCACCTCGTGCCCAGTTCCCTTGAAGCTGCCTCAGCCTGTGCGCAGAGCTGCAGGGACCATTAGGCTCTGGGGCAAGGAGATGCTGTTGATTCTGGTTGCCCCCACACAGGGTTGAGTCACCACAAACTCACCTTTGCCTGTGGGGTATTGGCTGCCACCTACAGCTCTGGGCCTGAGAATATTTCTTATCAGAGCATCACTTCCCCCTCTCGGATTCCTGCAGCTGTGTCAACCTGGAAACGTGGGAAAATCAGCCACTGGACTCTGGCCCGATGGGAGAAGTTCAGAGTGAAGCTTCCACCCAAGACTGTTCAAAGGGACACCGAGTAATGACTCAAGAAAACCATCCTGGATGTTGCTGTCTGCCCACTCTGGTTTTCTTCTCCTTGCCTGTGGAATGAACTATATCACCTGTGCTGAGACACAGAACAACCCAGACACCACCAACAGCCAAAAGGTGGATTGTGGCATCACTGTGGGAGCAATTGTTTGGTCCTTTGTATTGGGGACTCTACTAGGCATAGTTTAATTGATACCTGTCTATTTCTGAAAAGTCGCGTGGTGATGGGCCATTGAAGGGAAGAGCTGTTTTGCACATATAAGCTTGCCTGGTTGTACAGTGCCCAGTGATGAATTAAAGGTAGAAGACCTGGCATATCTCCTGTGTTCGACTCTAGTGTGGAATTTCTTCTACTGGAAACTGCCAGATCACTTCAACAAGAGGCCATTCAGTTAAGACAATAAAGACTTTGAATACAACTGAATGTGAGAAAAAGGATAAGATGACATTTTCTTCAAAAATTCATTCTCCAAAACCATACTGTCGGTCCTTATGGTGGCAAAGAGGTCATGGGCTCAGGAGATTGACAGGAGCATTTAGCTGCTCCCAATGACAAAAGCAATCAGCCTGTTTCATCTCCCTTGAAGAAGTTCAAGAATGAGACTTCCAGCTGAGTGTGGTGATACATAACTGTAATTTCAGCCCTCTGGGAGGCTGAGGCAGGAGTACTGCAAGTTCAGGCCCAGCCTGGGTAACTCAGCAATTTAGTGAGACTCTGTATCAAAATCATCATCATCATCATCATCTAATATAAAAGGGCTGGGGATGTAGTTCAGTGGAAAGCCTCATGTTTACTCTCCAGTATCCCTCTCCAAGTTAAACTTTCACCATAATATCAAGCCTGTGAGAGACAAGATTTTTGTCTGTTTTCTTTTTTCATAAGTCCTAGTGCCTGGAAAATAGCAGGCACTAAATCAATATGTATTGAATGAGTGAACATCTGATAATAAAGAAGAAAATGTAGCATCTGGAAAAATATATGCTCTCGACAGTTTAGTACAAATCTGTTGCTTCTTACTAGCTATCATTCTTTCCTTCTTATTCATTTTTATTTTTAAAATAAAAGTGTTTTAAGTGTTTTTTCTGGTGCTGGGGCTTGAACCCAGGGCCTCACACATCCTAGGTAAGCACTCTACCTGAGCTACACCCCCAGCTTATTTTTAATTTAATTTAATTTTTCCTGGAAATGGCATGACTCTTCCCATCCTGTATTATGCCATGTAGCTTTGGTGGGGCTGCCCTTCTGGGGGGTGGGTATTAGACTGAAACATGCCAGCAAGATGCTCTTTCTGGAGAAAGAGCCAGGGGTGGACCCTCAGGGGGGCCATCATCTGAGGCAAACTGAGGGAAGTCCACCATGGTTGACGTAGCCACCTGCAGTGCCCTGGCTCCTGTTCTGTCCCTTCTCTTCTCAGGCTGGGTGTTCCCACCTCTCCTCTGGTCCAAGAACACACAGTGTTCTTGGGATAAGCACCCACGCTTATCATGTTTAGTTGAACCAGGAAGTTGCCTCTGCCCCAACCAAAACATTCCAAGTGGAAAGAATTACATCACAACAGAGTAGAAACTTACAGTAGAGTTGTCCTGTCTTAGACACCTTCTTGTCACTGAGTCACAACATAGGGAGGAAAGTTTATTTTGACTCGTAGTTCAGAAGTTTCAGTCCATGTTCTTCCACATGATGGAAGGGTCTGGGCAGAGGAAAGCTACTCATTTCATGGCAGTCAGGAAGCTGAGAAAGGAGGGATGAACAAGGGTTGGGGAAGAACCCTTTAGGTTGTGCGCCAGTGACCCACCTCCCCTGACTAGGCCCTGCCTCCTAACAGCAAGGCTATAGTGCCACTGTGAGTCAGTCACCTCTCAAAAGCCCCATCTATAAGTGCTTGAGGACTTTAGGGGACATTCGTGATCTAAACCGTAACATCTCTTTTCTCCTAAATAGCTGTTATTAAATCAAAAAGGTGTTTTATGAGCTAGAAGTGAACAAAGGCAGGATTGGCAGACACAGGTTGAGCTGGAGGCTCCAGATCATGTTTTGAGATGCATTCAATAATCTGCCTCTGCTCTGTCCTGTAGACCCACCCTCCATTCTGTGGCTTCCAACAAGTCTCTGAAGTGATTGAGAATCCCGTTCCATCAGAACTCCAGCAGCGATCCCTGTACCTGAATCAGGGAGTCCTTTGCCTCACATCCTGCGATGTCCCTAGGGGAGTCGGGCTTCACAGACCCCCCCGGATGGCAGACACAATCTTATTCACGTGTGCCTCAGGGATTGCAAGGGACGTGGCCTCAAGTCTCTATTCTCAAAGAGGCCCCAGCTGAGGAATGTTGCTTAGAGTAAAGCCCAAACACTTCTTCTGTGCGCAAGCCCATACACAGCACCAGTGCCTGCTACCTCATTTCCTCCATTGCATCCCACAAAGCCAGTGAGGACACAGGAAAAACCCACCTCAAGTTCTGCTAAACACTCCTTCAACAATCAGCACAGAAGGTATCTGTAGCCAGATGTGTGAGATTTGTCCCCTACACCAAGCAAGCAGTCAGTTCTGCAGTGGCCATCAACTGGATGTCCTCTAATTTAATTCTGCTGTAACACTGTCTACTGGAAGAGATGTCATCTCTCACAAGGTGAGGGCTCAGTTCCCAAAACTGGCCCCCAGTCCCATAGCACAATTCCTGACTTGCTTTACCTATGGTTTTAACTGACCTGCTATAAATTAGGGTTGCCACATACCCTACCCCGGGATCAACTAATTTGCTAGAGCTGCTCACAGCACTTCAGAAAACACATTTATTACAAAAGTTACAGAAGAACAGTCAGATGGGAGAGATGCATGGAGCAAATTGTATAAGAAAGGACATGAAGCTTCCATGTCCAGGGTCAGAATGGGGTAAAACTTTCCCTGAGCATCCTCCTGTCCAGCTATCTAGAAGCTCATCCAAATCTTGTCATTTGGGATTTTATAGAGGCTTCATTATGCAGGCGTTATGGATTTTATCTAGATTTCCCTCCATAGACTCATGTGCTCATAGCTGGGGCTTTTCAGAGGTGACTAGATCTAAGGTGGCAAAAATGGATTATGGCCACATGATAACTGGATTAGTCCGCTGATAATACTACCATATAGATCTGGGTGTGGCTTAGTGGATTTATGGAAGACAGAAGCCCCACCCTGGGTATGGGTGGCACCGACCAACAGGCTAGATGGAATCAAAAGGGACAGAAACAAGGCTAGTTTGCTGCTTCCTGTCTTCTGCCTTCCCTGCCATGGACTGTTTTTCCTTTGCCCTGCCTTGGAGCCAGCTGACTATGGACTTCAACCTCTACAAACTGTGAGTTAAAGTATGCCTTTCCTAATGGAAACAAAGTCTTTATAAATAGGGGAGAGGAGACGGGGTGAAAGGAGGGCAGGGGAATGAGAAAAAATGAGAACTAAAATCTGTCATGTAAAGGTACAAGATCCCAATGATGAATGTAACTGCACTGTATACTTAAAAAGTACCAAAAAACTCAATAAGATTAAAAAATATATAAAGTATACCTTTCCTCCTTTAACTTGTGGGTATTGGGTATTTTGTCACATCAATGAAAAAGTAACTAAGACAGCAGGTGTGCTTTATGACATCATTGGCCATTGCTGATCTGCTCAAACTTCAGCCCATCTCTTCTTCCTGGAGATTGGGGTTAAGGTTGAAAGTCACAGCCCTGGAATCCTGCTTTGGTCTTTCCTGTGACCAGACCCCATCTTAAACCTGACTGCCAACCAGCACACAAAAGGCATTTATTGTTTTGAAGAGTACAAGAATTTTAGGAGACGCATGCTAGGAATTAACAAAGACCAGCTGTATAGAGATTCCCCCCAAAACATATACACATTTCAGGAAAAGAAAAACTTGCGTAAGTATTTTAATAGTAAATTTACTGAAACGTAATGAGATTAATACAAGCTATCTGTGGCCTCTACAGTTACAAGAAGTGCTCAAAGTAATGGCCATCAGCTTCCAGACATGAGTTAGTGCGATGAATTGCTGCTCAGGTAACCTTGGTCATTGTAGTTGCTGCACACACACTTTCAGTTTCTTCTCTAAGGGCCAGCAGTGTAGTGGATTTTCTGTGATATACAACATCCTCTAGGATCCCCCCATATAAGTGTGATACTATCTGTTGAAAAAGCATCATACTATTTTTCTTTTCCTGAAGATGTGTTTACATTTCTTGGGCAGACTGCATACATATTTAGAATTGGTTGCAAATTCATTGGTTGAGTTCAATGCTAATCTTACAGAGAAATTTTGATTTGGTTCATGACCAATTGAGTTTGCAATCAGAATCGTGGAAAGAATTTATGTGTGTATATATATAATTGGCTGTAGACAGGCAGCTGGGACTACTTGAAAAGCAGAGACGACTTGATGTTTTTCTTTTTTTTTTTTCCATGCTCTTTCTTAGTCATTAGATTTAGATAAAATCCACGTAAGCTTGTGGTTTCAAACTTTGTTTAGCTCAAGAGAAAGTAACATGGTGTGCTGATAAGGTCTGGGCCCCATACAAAGTCCAGACCATGGTGAGGGGTAAAAAAAACCCTCAAGGTCTTAAAACGCATAAACAGAGAAATCCACCTAGGGAGTGACAAGGACCAGGTCCACACAGACCATTTTTTCCTTCTAAAAGAACAAAGACCTCAGAGGGAGGAAAGGACATTGGAATAAACCGTACCTATGTGCTATACAAAAGTCTAGTCTTATCTGAAATCTTTTGCCAAATACACAAAGAATTGAGGTACGTCACTGGCTCCTTCCACCATTAGGACCTCTTGTTAATGTTTTTATTAGGATCCAGCTTTCTGGTGACATTACTACGCATATCATGGCATCGAGAATATGGATTCCTGACCTGTTGATATTTTAAAATCTAGATCCTTCCCACAGGACTGTATTTTTTGTCTTTGGGTCCCACCGCACTGCTGACCAAAATAGGTCTACACAAACATTGGTAGGATTAAGTAAATCTTCCCAGTTAATAATTTAATAATTGACAGTTTAATACTAAAGACATATCCTTCCTCTGGAATTCTTAGATTATTTTATCTTGTTCTAAAAAGCTAATCAGCAGACTCTGGGGGGGGCTGGTGGATTCTTGGCAAAATATGGACATGTTTCTATCATTTCTGTACTGCTGGGAGCGTGGCTGTGGTAGTAGCTGGCAAATTGTCCCAGCTGGAAAGGCAACAACTCACCACTGACAATTTGGGCTACTGAACAAGCTTCCAGGGTGAATGATAAGTGATGTCTGACATGTATAAAGTGATGGGACAGTTATTCTGACTTCTTGAACACTAAGTAGCACACTTTACATTTCCCTATTTAGCACTGTTCTTTTTGGTACTAAGGGTAGCCAATGTGAAGATCCCCCATCCCACCCAAAATACCTCTTCCTGGTTTTCACACCTTCATAATTTCTTTCAGCATGGTGTCAGGCAGGTCTATAGGGCCATCAGCACACTGTATAGTAATGGCTCTAACAGTCTTGGTGCTGGCTCCCATCTTTCTTGAATCATTGTTTCTGGGGGAAGGTGGCTGTCATTCTGTGAGAAGCCCTGTGGGCTGGTCTACTCAAGGAGGAAGAAGTCTGCAGCCAATAACTGGGGAGATGCTGAT